TTTTTGAACTCGTTAGAGAGTTGAAACTCCATTTCTTCATGGCTCCAACAGCATTGCATGGGATCCACCTTGAAGTTGCTCCCTCTTGATGTAAAGAAGAGTGAGCGTTTTAGTCACTGAAGGCTTCCAGTAGCAGAAGTATCAGGATTTGGTTCTGTTTCCAGAGTCACCTTGTCAACTGTTTCAAGCACAAAAGGAAAGAAACACACAGAGAACATTGGAATCTTAAAAGGCCAGTTCCAGTCCCACATGAAGTCAATATTGGTCAATATTGCTGAGGCCAAGAAGGAAGTTGAATGCTTGAGTGAGAATCACTCACCATTGAAAAGGCAGTGGCAGCATGACTTTCACTGGGAGTCAAAGTCCAAGAAGCCACTGGGGCCCACTGAATTGGACAGGGGTGGTTTTGGATTATTTTTTTTCCCCATCATGGGGAACACTGACTTTGGCTATTCCCATTCACTGATTTCAGGTCAGGCTATTGCTACTTCCTTTCACAGCACTGCTGAGTGTAACAAGCAGTAGAAAAGAGCAAACGACTCTCAAATAATTTGCTTCAATAATCTCAATAGTTAAAATTTTCATTACAAAAGCAACAGAACTACCTAAAATAAACAGAAGTAAGCAAAACTATCTCTGCTCTCCTCTATTTCCATAATAATCATTTGGATTTATCTTTTTTAAAAAATTTAATTTATTGGTACATTCTTGTTAGACAGTACAGTTACATTCATTACTGGGATCTTGTACCTTTACATGCCAGGTTTTGGTTCTCATTTTTTCCTATTGGATTTATCTTTTCTAACCTTTTTATGTTAAAATATGTTGTCTATTGTGTGCTATATGCTTTGTCTTTAGCTTTATGTTTTTGCATTGCACTATAAAACTCACCTTCTAAATGGAAGTATGATATTTTCTGGCATGGGTATTCTGTATGAAATTATATGCACTTTCATTGTTGGCTATTTTAAAACATTTTTACTTTTGCCACTAGAAATAGTAGCACTCTGGACATTCAGTGTGCTTTAATACTTCACATTTTTTAAAATTGATTCTCAGAAGCAGAATAGCTGGAGCAAAGTGCTTGACCAATTTTGTGACTTTGTTACAATTTGCTCTCACTCATCTACCAGTGAAATATAAGAAAACCAGTATCATTCAATTTTTATCTCTTTCTAAGAGAACAGATCTTACCATGGATAAAAATTTTATTTAAGAAAGCAAATATTAATACGTCCTTGCTGTTTAACTTAGCATTTCTTAGTTTACTGTTTTCATCTATTCTAGGTACTATTACCTAAATTGGCTGTTCAGAAAGTTACCTCTCAGAATTACAATGTTTTCCTTATTATGTTGTATACATTTTTCCAAGGTAAAGATATTGATGGTATTGTGAGCAAATAATTTTTGCAAATACTTTTTCATAATGTATTTTTAGGCTTTAAACCTAT